CACACACACACACACACACACACACAAATTCACACACACACACACAAAATTCACACACGCACACACACACAAATTCACACACACACACAATTTCACACACACACTCACACACACTCGCACACACTCATTCACACACGCACACACTCATTCAACTCACAAATACACACTTTCCTGGTGCCTCACGGTGCGCGCAGGGCGAGTGAGAAGAACATGGTGTATGCGCGGACGGTGGAGACGGCGTTGTCACGATCGCTCCGGCTCCGACCAGAGAACGCCCGTATCCGCACACACACATTCGTCGCTTACAAGGGGCTCATGTACGCTCGCTCAGCACGGTTGTTAATGGGGTCATGTTGTGTTGTCGTGGTGCTGTCGTGGTGTTGTGAAGACGGGCTTGTTGCGATGTGTCAAGTGATGACGTTTCAGGGAATTGGAAGCGCTCATGTGTCGCCAAATGTGTGTGTGTGTGCTCTCGTGAACGTGCTGTCCTTTCACTCTCCTCATTATGTGTGCGTGCGGGTGTGCATATATGTGTGTGTATGTGCAGGGAGGACGACGATGACGACGCTGTTGCTCCAAATGGCCGCGTGCTTGTGCCAATTCACCCGTACTCGCAGCTCTGCCAACATGCCGATGTAAGAGTGATCAAAGCGCACCACACGAACCAGCATACAGCGCACAAGCACGAGCAGAGTGAACTATGTATTCGTGGTGTGTGCATGTACTCATGCTGTGTGTGATCCTTCCCTCCTGTGCACAGATGCACAATCACACCCTCACACACACAATCTCTCTTTCTCGCTCTCACTTCATATCCATACGGGTTTCAGGGCGCCGCGCTGCTGAAAGTGAAGGGGCACCTGAATCCCTTGATTGAGGACATTATGGCGTATTCACAGGACCTTCAAGATGCCGAGGTGCGATGGTGTTATCGTGGCGAAAGTTGTCTTGTTGGATGGCTGCCGATTACGTGCTCACCATCCACACACGTATACAATCTCATTCACACGCACGCACACGCACACAATCTCATTCACACACACACACACACACACAATCTCATTCACACACACACACACGCACACAATCTCATTCACACACACACACACACATGTGGCAATGCAGGCTGCTGAGCGGGCGAAGGCGGCGCTGTGGGCGTGTGCACACGTTGGATCGACACCGCACGGGCTCGCCATCCTGCCCGAATCAGTTCCAAAACTCATCACGTCCATCGCAGAACAGACCCCGGTGCGTGTATGTGGGTAATGTGTGAAATGTGTGTATGTGTGTGTGTGTGTGTGTGTGTGTGTGTGTGTGTAATGTGTGTAATGCGTGTAATGTGTGTACCGATGCACGGTTTCGTTGTGTATGTTGTGCACGTTCTGCCCGCTAGCCGATCACCCTCAGACTGACACTTCACGCACCAACCCATCGCCTCGCCTCATTCACCCTCGCTACTCTTCTCCCTTCCCGCTCTGTGTATGCACACGTCAGATTCTGTCGATGCGAGGCGTGTGCATGTTGGTGCTGTCTCTCTTTGGATCGCACGCGAAAGGAGCAGCGAAACTGCACGAAATCGGCTGGACGGTCGCATCAAACAGCGATGAAAGGTGGGCGTGTGCACGTGATCTGTGTCCATTCACACGCGCGGACATTGGAATGAATCATGCGTCATTGTCGAATCATCATCAAAAGGAAGTGCATGCACACAACCTTTCAACACACACGCACACACACACACACACACACACACACACACACACACACACACACACACACTCTCTCTCTCTCTCTCTCTCTCTCTCTCTCTCTCTCTCTCTCTCTCTCTCTCTCTCTCTCTCTGTCGTACACAAACTCGCTCAATATTCCCCGTCTCTCCCCCCCCTCTTCACAGGTACAACATCAGTCGCATCTCAGTGGCGTTTCCCAAGTCTGTGTCGTCCATCCTCAAGAAGGTAACACTCGTGCGCACTTCCTTCTGATGTAATGGCCCTGGTGACGATTTGGTTGCCTGTACTCGTACTGATCGTGCCTCATTCTCGCACACACCGTGCCGCCCACTCCAACGCATGCTGTGTTGTGATGGGCAGCATTCCTTTCAATCGTCTTTGATACATCTGCATTGGTTTCACTCATTTCTCATACCCCCGCGTTCCTCTCGCGTTTGATTTGTTCCCTTCAATTTCCTCCAACTTCCTCCATTGTTCCGCATGCCCTTGCATCTCAACAGCCGCCCAAGACGAAGATTGAGACGTGGACAGCCGTCGCCCCGACCGTGGACGAATACGCAACGGTGCGACTTGTATGCATGCAGTGTTGGGACATGAGTTGAGCTGGCGCACGCTTGACATCTCATGTCACCACGATTCTTGTCACTGTTTCCATTGCGTACCTTCACACACAAAGCACTTTTACACACACACACACACACACTCACACACTTACACACACACACTCTCTCCCCCTCCCCTTCCCCCTCTCTGTTGCCCTCTTTTGCACACCCCAGAGCGATGACCCGGCTGTTGTTGCGCTCATGTCGAAGCTGGCGGCCATCAGCAACGCCGTCCTCAACCGGAAAGTCATGGCGGAGCTCATCGCCCTCAAGCGCCAGGACACCGCGCTCTTCTCAAACCCGCACGCCTTCGTCCAGGTGAGCACTTGCATCATCGTCATCATCATCATCATCATCATCATCATCATCATCATCATCATCATCATCATCATCATCATCATCATCATCATCATCATCATCATCTCTCTGCGAAAACACACCTGCACATGTGGTGGTGAATCTTGTTGAGTGGACTCTGCAGAATTGCGCATGCTTGAACAACGACGACAACAACATGACCTCCGCCCTCGCTTCTTTTTTTTTTTTTTTGACCTTTTTTGAGCTGCCTTGGTTCAACAGGCATATCGCATGATTGCGTTTGGCGAGTACAACCTGGCTGCCCGTCGTCAAATCGACAGCTTGTTCCTCCTCGACACCTGCCTTGCATCGCTTCCAACAACGCTCGGTACGCATGTGAATTGGCGCTTCTGTTGCTCGTCTATGGTTTGCGATTGTGCGCGGCTTCGTACAGTCCCCTCGTGAGTGCATATGCGCGCGAATGTGTATGTGTATGTGTGTGCGTGTGTGTGAGTGCATATGCGCGCGAATGTGTATGTGTATGTGTGTGCGTGTGAGTGCATACGCGCGCGAATGTGCGTGTGTGTGTGTGTGTGTGTATGTGTGTGATGGTGTCCGTTGTGATGTTTGATTGCGTGTGCAACCGCCTATATTCGTCGAAGTTTTACGTCGATCGATGCTGGTTGGTCGACCAGAGCAACACTGCATGCAGCGTGCCCATTCACCATTCTCACTTCCTCGCTCCACCACCTCTGCTGCGTGTAAACAGATCGCTTTGAACTGTCCATTCGTAACATGCGGCGAACACGGAGCGGTTCCCTCGCTGCGGTAATCACACGCACGCACGCACACACACACACACACACACACGCACACACACACACACACACACACACGCACACACACACACACACGCACACACACCACGTTCGCACTCACGCCCTGCCTCCCTCCTTTTGTTTTCTCTTTTTCGCTCTTTCTCTTTGGCAGATCACTGGCTCTCCCGTGTCTCCGACAATCACTCGCCCAAGCACCGCCCCAACAGGATCAACGCGAAGGTCGTATGTGTGTGCGTGTGTGTGTGCGTGCAAAGATGCATTTGT